GGAGGGCTGGGCCACAGCAGGAGGGCCTGAGGACAGACAGATGGCAGTCTGGGGTTTGGATACCGAGATCTGAAGTAAGGAAGAGGGTGCCTATGTGCAGAGCAGAAGGTCCCTCCACAGGCCTCTAACGGTAGGAGTCCTAAATGCCAGAGTGTTTGGACAGGCTCAGTCGCTAAGCCCGGAGAGTGTGTGCCCGGGAGAATAAGCTTTGGTGACACAGAGCAGCTAGGACCTGAGTTCTTCAGTGTCTTCATACAGGAGCCTTTCACAGCCCTGGGCCTCAGTCTCCTCACCGGTACCTTGGGGTGGGACTAGAAAATGTAACATGATGTGAAGGTTAATTTACCACAGTACTGGGCTGGAGAGGTGGCTCAGTGAGTTAAGAGCACCAGCTACTCCTCTAGAGGACCCGGGTTCAAGTTCCAGACACCCACATGGCAGCTCACAACTATCTATAACTCCAGTTCTAGGGGATCTATTGCACCAGGCATTCATAGGGGGCACATATCTATGCATGCAGGCAAAATACTCTTACACATATAATAACCCTTAAACAAATACACACATACACACACAGAGTGGTACTTCATAAAGTACACTGTGGTAGACCCTTAAGGCTGTTAGTGTCCTGGGGGTTTTGTTTTGTTCCTTTGTAGGAGAAGGCCACCCCTCACTTGTCCCACTTGTCTGTGTTTCTCATTCTCTTTCTCTGGGCTTGGACATGTGGCATTAGCATCCTTTGAGGAGAGAAATGACATGAGCAGTGTCCCCAGGACAGGAACTGAGCTCATGCTTCATCCTTGAGTTCTCAGGACTTGATCCACAAAAGGTGCTGGGTTCGCTCGGCAGGTAGAGGGGCTTGTTGCCAAACCTGACAGCCTGAGTTCAATGCCTGGGAGCCTATGTGGTGGAAAGAGAGACTTGACCTCTGACGGTTGTCCTTCGACCTCCGCAAACACGCCACGGCACATACACAAATAAATAAATGTAATATTTAAAGGCCTTTAGAGAATTGTCTACAGAATGAATAAATGGATACTGTGCGTTCAGAGCAGTGTGTCTGCGAGAGGAGCCACTGTTACCTGGCAGAGTGACTTGGGGGGTGCGCTTGCTCTATTCTGTTGCCTCCCCCACTGTCTGAAAAAGCAGCGGAGGCAGGACCAGGTTCCAGAGTCAGCCACCTTCTGTCTGGGTAACAGCAGCAGGAACAAGGTGCCCTCGACCCTCAACTCCTGAAAGAGAAGAAGGGATGAATCTGGATGAAGTCAGGCTGGGGGAGGTAGAGCTATGAAGGCCAGGGAGAGTCTGGAACTAGCTGGCCTAGGGGCTCGTAGTGTCATGTGACCAGGCTTGGCAGCAACGGCTTTACCCAGTGAGCTGTATTATATAGCCCAGGCTGGCCTCAAATTCAGCATGTAGCTGAGGCTGCCCTTGAGTTCCTGATCCTCCTGCCTTTACCCTCCCAAGTGCCAGGATTACAGGTGTGCGCTACCATGCCTGGCTTTTTAAAACTTGAATCTCAGCACTCAAGGGGAAGAGGCAGAGGCAGGTGGATCTCTGAGTCTGAGACTATCCTGGTGTACAGAATGAGTTCTCGAACAGCCAGGGCTACAAAGAGAAGCCTTGTCTCCAGAAAAACAAAACACGACAAATCTTTTTTTGTGTCAGTGTTGGGATTTGATTCAGACTTCCACACTGTAACCCTGCCACTCAGCTGTCTCCCCAGGCTCTGATCTTCTCAAACACAAACCTTAGCAGCACACAAGTTCACAGCTCCAGATGGTGTGTGTGTGTGTGTGTGTGTGTGTGTGTGTGTGTGTGTGTGTGTGTGCTCGCGCGCGCATGTTTAAAACGTCAAGCCTCCTGGCTCCGTTCTCTGCTCCCCTGAGACGGCCCTTCATAACTGTTGTCTTTTCCTGGCTCTCGATGCTGCATTTACTGTCACACACTTTTGCCGTCTCTTTCTGGCTTTTGTTTTTTACACAGTGGACTCATTCGTATTGCTTTTTTTTTTTTTTAACTTAACAGTGATAGCTTTGGCTGGTTTCCAGTGGGATCTGGGCTGGGAAGAGGGCTGCTGTGATTCCGGAAAGAAGTAGGGGACAGCGTGTGTCAAAGCACCAGAAGGGGTCCCCAGAGGTCACCAGGCACAGAGGAAAGGGGCCCCTGTACTGTAGTCCAAATATCAACCACCAGAGGCCCATGCCCTGTCTCTCCTCTTTTTACTCTCCCTTCCTTCCTCTCTGGCTCGCTTTCCTTTCTCCCTTCTCTTTCCTGCCCCCTTCTTCCTTTCTTCCTTCCACTTTCTTTGGGATACAGTTTCACTGTGTAGCTCAGGCGGGTTTAAGACTTACAGCAGCCGCTCCTGCCTCCTAAATTCTGGGATTACAGGTGTGTGCCACCTAGCAGCTTGGATGCCCGCTTCTCTAAGGCAGAGGCCACGTGGTTTGTTTACTGCCTCACATCCCCCTGTCTCTAGCCCAGGGGCCTGGCACAGAAGGTGCTTTAGAAATCATCTATTCAGTGGATTAAGCCCTTTCCCCGTCCTTGTTAGAGAGAGACCATCCTGGTCCCCACCACTCTCCCTTTGAGTCAGCTAAGATATTCTTTCAGCTGATACACAATGGCACTGGCCCCAGGTGGAGGCCCGAGGTGGGTCCAGCTTAGTAGCTGGGGAGCCCCTTCCCTCGGGCAAGTGGCTGTCCCGCCCAGCTGTCACCGTGCAGATCCCTAATGAGGGCTGCACCAGTCCATCTCCGGCGCTTTCCAGCCTGCAGCATCAACTCCAGCCCACCCCCTCATTTCACGGATGAGGGGCTGAGTCGAGTGTAATTTTGTCAGCTGCTTCAGAAGTCCGCTGGGAAGGAGGTCTTCGAGGCACAGGGAGGCTGCTGCCTTGTACTGAAGAACCAACTATGTGACAGGCCGCACGTTAGCTGAGCGCTTTTTGTGATGGAACAGTTCAGGGAGGCAGAGGAACCTGTGCAGGGTGAGGCTTCCACTCTAGTCTGCAGGACCCCAGAGGGGGACACTCAGAGTCAGAATTGGGCTGAACTTCCCACTTCTCTGGGACCTTCAGGGAGCCACCTTCCTCTTCCCCCAGACAGCCAGACTTCTACAAATAAGGCATATGGCCGCAGGATGGAATATTGGCGGGGGAAGTAGTTGACTTGCAAAATTGATGGACAAGGTTCGAGGTACCAGAGGCTTCTGTTAGGTTCCATGGCCATTTGCCCAGCCTCTTCCCTGCCCTCCCTCACCAGCTTCCTGGGACTGAGGTGGACCCATCTGTATTATTCCCCACTCCCACCCCACCTCCCACCTGGGACTGGGCTCCTGGGGTTGGAGTCTAGACAGACAAGAGCATCCTACTGAGACCAGAGGCAGCTTTGACAAGGGGCTGAAGGTTCCCATAGCAACAGCATCCCCCTCAGCTGGCAGCCACCCGATAAATAAATAATTAGGGTTTGGGGGTGGGAACAAAGGGCCGGGGGAGGGGCAGCCAGGCAGACTATGTCTTCACTCTGGAGAGGAGATTGGGATTGGAGGGGGTTAGTCAGGCTTGAAGTAGTCTGAGAAGAGAGGGTTGGAACAGCCAGGTGAGAGAAAAGATGGGTGGTGAAAATGGTCAGATGGGAGATTTGTTTCTGTTAGTGACCCCTAGACGTGGGGAGATGAGAGAGCAGGAAGGATGCTTGAGTCAGTACTGAGGTTTCTAGCTCTTGCATCCATGGAGTGGACACCGGAAGTGGACCGGGCCCAGCAGGTTAAGTTTACAGTGAATGCTGGACGCGGTGGCCAAGGTTAGTAAACCCAGCACTCTGAGGGAGGCTGAGGCAGGAGGATCTCAAATGCTGGGACAGCCTGGGCTCTGTAGCAACACTCTGTGCCCAAAAACAAAAGCAAAAACAGAATTGCTTTCAGAGAAGGGGCAAGCCCTGAGAAACATGGGCAGCAGTGAAGGCAGTGAGTGAGTTAGCCTCGGGGCAGCAAGGGATCCAAAGACTGTCAGCCCCTTTTGGGGAGGGGGACCCTTAGGAGCATGGGAGGAGGAAGGAGAAACAGGTTCCCTGAAGAAGCTGCTGGGAAGGTACAGTGTGTGGGGACAAGGCCCAGGATGGGGTGGGGTATGGGTGGTGCTGTCAGGAGGCAACACATGACCCCGTAGGCTCAAGATGGAAAAGACAGGGTTTGGAAGCCAGGGTGACTTGTCCTTATCGGTGGTCATTCTGGGACTTATCTTCTGTGGCTTTGGCGACATTTGTATTTTTGGAGCTGGGTAGAGGAGGCTGTGTGAGTTGTCCCAGGGACCTGCCTCCTGATTTCCATAGGAAAGTTCTCAGAAGGCTGTTCGCCTGGCTAGGAGGCTAACCACATTAGAAACACCCTCTGCTAGGCTTGCTGGCGCACACCTTTAGTCCCAGCACTCGGAAGGCAGAAGCAGGTGGATCTCTGTGAGTTTGAGACCAGCCTGGTCTACAGAGTGAGTTCTGGGACTCCAAGAAGAAGAAGAAACACCTTCGTTTTAATCCGAGGTGTGGGGATGTGGGCCACTTTGCAGCAGCTGACTATGATTTGCCTCGTGCTCTAGCAGGGGTGTGGTTTTGCCAGCTGCACATAGTTTCTGCGATTGTGTGACGTATATAAGTGCTAGGACCCCAAGAGGTGTGGTTGGTGGTTATTCATGGAAGTTGTTTGCAGTTTGTTAGTAGTCATGCTCAAAGAGGAAACAAGAAATTAGATTCAGGGATCTCTTTCTCCCCCCTCGATCCTTCTTTCTCTCCTATCTAGTGATGGGGTGAAATGAGGCAGGGGAAGGAGATAAAAGGTGGGGAAAAAGAAGAACCTACAAAGTAGCAAAAATCTACATGGTAGAAAGAGAGGAATGACTCCTGCAAGTTGTCCTCTGATTTACACATGATCATGCTCATGCATGCGCACCCAGACACACACACACACACACACACACACACACACACACACACGTACACACCCTTCTTTTTTTTATGGAACACTTCACAAATTTGCATGTTATCCTTGTGAAGGGGCCATGCTAATCCTCTCTGTATTTGTTCCAATTTCACATATATGCTGCCAAAGCGAGCACCAAATATCTTCTTAAAAAGACAAAGAGTGGAGTGAGGAAGAGGAGAAGCCTAGAGAATTCTTTCCCCAAGGTCAGCCAACCACCCAAGTCAGGGCTGGATTGTGCAGCCCACTGAGGCCCAGCAGGGCAGGGGACCCATCCAAAGTTCCCCCGGCAGACGGAGGCACATGCCCCACTCCACCTGTGCCCCTTGACTCCTGAGCCAGTGCCCGCTGGGTAACACGGTTCTTTGGTACCTAGATAAGACAGACTGCAGAGAAAGATCTGTTCTGCCACCTGCCTGCTGTGTGACCTTGGGCGAGTCATTTGTCCTCTCTGAACTGTATGTTCTCTTCCCTCAAGATGACGCAATGATCCCAGGTCTGCCTTTCTGCCAAGGCATGTGCAGAGAGAGATGCAATTGGGGGGCCTCTGACCATCTGCAGAGCCCTGTGAGGGTTGTCACCAGCAGGAGGCAGATGGGAAGGTGCCAGGCTTGGGCCTGGCACTACCAGGCTCCCCTCATGTCCTGCCCAAGCCTGCAGCTTCTTTGGTCTCTGCCCAAGCTGTGCCATCTGTGTGGTGGCATCAGCCTGTATCTTCCTGATGCCCTGACAGGAAGAAACGCTGGGATCTCTCATTTTACCCAAATCCTCCCATCCCCATTCCTGAGCAGACCCTCTGCTCCACTGGGAGGGGTGTTGTTGCTGGTCTTTTGTTTTTGTTTTCCAGTGCTGGGCTGGGGATCAAACCCAAAGTCTAGACCAGTGTTCCAACACTGAGCACTATTCCAAGTTCCATTTAAAAAATGATTACATGTATTTATTTGGGGGAAACACGTGCGAATCAGAGGACACACTGTGGGAGTCTGTTCTCTCGCCTTCTGGGTCCTGGGGCTCAACCTCGGGTCACCAGGACAGGTACCTCTGTCCTCTGAGATGTCTTTTCCCCACTCCATGTCGGTCTGATTGTTTTGAGAGATGGTTTTACTGGGTTACCTAGGAAGGGCTTCCCCGGCAGGAAGGAGAGGGTAGGACCCCCAGCACAGATTCTCACCCACTACCCCAAAGTCACGACCAGGCTTAGAAGCCGTGGCTTCCTCCTTGCGTCACCCATCCCTTTGTGGCTGAGGGAATGGCTGGCTTGGGCTCGGTGTGCCCTCATCATCATCAGTTCGTGGCACCTAGACTGAGTCTCTGTGCTTCCGGCCGACAGCTGTCTCAGCCTGTCTCTTCCACAGGTGGCTGCACTTCAGCGGCAGATCTTCGATTTCCTGGGCTACCAGTGGGCTCCCATCCTGGCCAACTTCCTGCATATCATGGCTGTCATCCTGGGCATCTTTGGCACTGTGCAGTACCGGTCCCGGTATCTCATCCTGGTATGTCCTTTTCCTTGTCCCTGCCTCTCCAGCCACAACTGTTTAATGCCCATAAGCCCAAGGGGGCACAAATATCCAAACCTCGAAAGTATGCACTCACAACGGACCACCGGTGTGGTGTGTTTTCATTAGAGAATCTTCCCAGGGAATAATGTAAAAGTAAGCAAGATAGGTCAGCTGCCCGGGGTGGGCCGAGCACACACTCAGTTCTGCTTGTATGTCGCACCCTTACACAGCCCCACCACCTGTGATTTGCAGGGAAGAAGCAGAGGCTCGGAGTGACTAAAAGTCTTCCTAAGGTCACACAACTAAGAAAGGCAGAGCCAGGTCTGGAGTGAGGGCTCCCACACTCACCATCCTGCCTCCGTAGGCTGTGGGCTCTGGGACTGAAGAAGGGATCATCCAGCTACGTTCCCCAGGGAGGCAAGGAAGGATCAGGAAGTCCTGGTGTCTCTCCCTACTCCTTGACTGAGGACATGGCCTGCTGGGCGTGGTCATACTGTAATCCCAGAACCTGGGAGACAGGGGCAGTGTCATGGTGAGTTCAAAGGATGGCCTGGGCTACACAGTGAGATCCTATCCCTATATTTAAAAAGAAAAAAGAAAACAACAACAGCAGCGTGGCCAGCAGCTAGTGGCTGTGGCTTTCTCTCCACCACCTGGTCCCAGGACATCCTCAGCCTGCTGCTGCCCCCTGCTGGTCTTTGGTGCCTCTTCAGGTTGCCATGGAAAGGGAAGAGGCTTTTCGGTAGATGAACCTGAATCCACACTTGACCCCTGCAGGAGCATGGACACTCCGAGCCGTGCTGCCAACAGCCCAGTCACGCTCATTCTAGGTCATCTCTCAACTCTGAAAGGCTCAGCTCCACCACACTCGCTCTGCCGCCGACTGCCCTTGCCTGCTGAGCCACCTGGTTTTTAAATTTTACTTTTTTCAGTTTATTTTTAATTATGGGGGGGAGGGTATACAGGATTGCAGGTACCTGAGGAGGTCAGAAAAGGGCACTGGATCCCCTGGACCTGAAGTTACAAGTAGCTGTGAGCTAGCCTGCACTTGTGTAGGGCTGGGAACAAAAATTTCATCTTTACTGCTGAGTCATCTCTCCAGCCCCGATTTGTATTTGGAGCGGGGAGGGCAGGTGGGGTTGAGACAGGGTTTCTCTGTATAGCCCCGGCTGTCCTGGGACTCAATCTGTAGACCAGGCTGGCCTCGAACTCAGAGATCTGCCTGCCTCTGCCTGGAATGCTGGGATTACAGGCGTGTACCAGCACAGGCCAGCCCTGTGTCCTAGTTGTGTGATCCAGAGCCAGTCAGCCTGCCCCTAGGGCAGGAGGGGAGAAGACACATGTGCTTATCTGCAGGGCTGTGAAGGACAGCTGTGGACTTGTAATCTCCACTGCAAAGATCCCCCTCACTCTTGAGGTCTGTCTCCAGTGACTGTTCCATCCCCTCCTGACCCCTGCTCCCCTGACCTCACCTCTGCTTTCCACAGTATGCAGCCTGGCTGGTGCTCTGGGTGGGCTGGAATGCCTTCATCATCTGCTTCTACCTGGAAGTTGGACAGCTCTCCCAGGTAAGCCACAGGCCCGGTGGTGTGCGCAGCCTGACCTCCCTGGCCCCCAGTGAGGGCTGGAACACAGTCTCTTTCACACACCTTTCTCCCTCTGCACATTCCAATAATCTGTGCAGCCCCCTGGACCTCCATCTTTTGTTTCTGACATCTCCTTGCACTTCTTAAAGACAGTGATGGAACTGATGAGGCTAAAGAGCAATCACTGTGAAGATGAGCCAAGGGCTCTGCTGACCGCGGGCTCGGTGAAACCAAAGGTGTATGTTGGCCCCATGGTAGGAGCTCAGAGGAGGGAGGCGAAGATGTCATACACTCGAGTCTTATTGCTTAGACGGGGAGACGTGCTGGGTCTGGGGCTGATCGATATTTTTCGGAAAGGAAAGAGACTGGCATTAGTTCAGGGATCATTGAACAAACTGTGAACGTGGTGAAGAGCCGGGGAGGAAGCATGGGCGTGTAGCTTTCTACACGCCCATGTAGGAAGAGGAGCAAGCCCAGAGAGACACAACCTCTATTTTTAGATACAAAGGAGGCCAGATATGTGAATAAGAGCTTTGCCTTTTTGGTTTGACCCTGCTCCACTTAAGTCCGTGTTGTAACGTTGCCCAGCAGCTTGACACTGGGCAAATGGCCTATTCTCTCTAAACTTCAGCTTGCTCTTTCTTTAGACTCCTTTATTATTTATCTTTTGGGCATGGGTGTGTGGTAGTTACTTTTTTACTGCTGTGATAAAATACCATGACCGAGGAGGCAACTTATAAAAGAAAGTGTTTAATTTGGGTTTCAGAAGATTAGAGTCCATGATGGCAGAGCAGAACGCTTGGCAGTAGAAGCAGCTGATAGCTCAAGTCTTGATCCGTGATCCCAAGGGGAAGAGAGAGATCACTGAGCTTTTAGAACCTCAAAGGCTGCCCCCGGAGACACACTCCTCCAATAAGACCACACCTTCTTGTTTCTTTGTTTGGGACAGGGTTTCTCTGTGTACCCCTGGCTGTCCTAGAACTTGCTTTGTCGACCAGGCTGGCCTCCAACTCAGGGATCCACCTGCTTCTGCCTCCTGAGAACTGGGATTAAATGCGTGTCCCACCACCATCCTTGAAATTCTTCTCAAACAGCCCCACCTACTGGGGACCAAGTATTCAAACATATGAGCCTCTGGGGACCACTCTCATTCAAACCACGACAGGGTGCTTTTGTCTACGTGTGTGTGTGCGTGTGTGTGTGCAGTGCTGGCAGAGACCAGAAGAGGTCGAACCTAAGGAGCTGGACACTCGGGAGTTGCCGTGTGAGTGCTGGAAAAGGAACTCTGGTCCTCTGGAAAGGCAGCCAGTGTTCTTCACTGCTGAAACATCTCTCCAGTCCCCCCCTGTCTCTGTCTCTCTCTTAGACAGGATCTCTTACAGCCTGGACTGACCTCAAACACCCTGTAGCTAAGGATGACTGAACTCCTTCCCAGGTGCTGGGGTTATAGTCATACACCACTACCTGTGGTTCTGAGGAGAGAACCTCAGGTTTTCTGTGTACCAAATAAACACTCAGCCACTCCTGAGTGGGAGTGGTGGTCCACTCCTGCACTCCCAGCACGCTGGGAGGCAGAGGCAGGAGGAGCTCTTCGAGTTTGAAATCAGCCTGGTCTATAAAGCAAGCCCAGGGCAACCAAGACTACACAGAGAAACCCTGTCTAGAAAAACAGAACAGAACAAGACAAAACACTCTCCCAACTGAAGCACATCCCCACTCCTGTTTCCTCCTCTAAACCATCCTGGTGAGATGGTTCAGTTGGTCAGACACAAGCAAGAAGCCCTGAGTTCAGATCCCCAGCAACCACATAAAGCCTTCAATACCGGGGGCGTGGGGAGGCAGAGAAAGAGACTTCTGAAGGGTTTTCAGGCCAACCAGTCTAACCGCATTTGGGAACTCCAGCTTCGGTGAGAGACCCTGCCTCAGAAAGTAGTAAGGCAGGGCCAGAGAGAGAGCTCAGTGGGTCAGAATTCGGGCTTTGCCAGCCTGGCGACCCCACCTCAGTCCCAGGTCCTGCAGTGGAAGGAAGAAAGAGAACCAAGTCCCAAAATTTGTATCCAGACCTCTGGACGTGTTCCGTGGCACATGCGCACACACAAGAATGCAAATGTGCAGACACAGGCACACACACCACCACCAACAACAATAATTAAACTTAAAAAAGGTGGGAGGGCAGTTGATGAAGCCACCCAGTGTTGGATTCTGGCTTCAACATGCACACATACGCGTGCGTACACACACACACACACACACACACACACACACACACACACAGCAAAGTAGAAGCTGGGCATGGGGGACACCCCTTTATGCCAGCACTGGGAGGCAGAAACAGGCAGGTCTCGAAGTTTGAAGCCATCCTGGTCTACAGAGCAAGTTCCAGGATGGCCAGGGCTACACGGAGGGGCGGGGTGGGTGGAAGAAAGGAGAGACCATAGCATCCCCCTGTGGTCACACCGGAGATGAAGCTTCATCACAGGCCAGTGTGTTTGGTACCTGGTCAGCGTGGTGAGTCTCGGTCTGACTGACTAGGAGCGAAGGCGTCGCTGGGCACAGGGCTGCACACCCCTGCACACCTTCTCTGTCTGCCCCTTCTGTGTCTGACAAATGGGAGAGTGACCCAGGAGAGGAGAGATTTGTCTAGAGTCACACACAAGGAGAGCAATGGAAACCCACTGAGTTGCATGGGAGCTTGAGGATTTCACCAATGCATGGGGAATTTCAGAGGCTCCTGAACAGGCTCAGCTCACACCCTTTCCGGCTCGGTGGCAGCAAAGTGGTCTCTACATGAGCACCTACCGCCACCTGCTGGCTGTGTGTGGACTTGCAGGTGTAGTCATTTCCTTCACAAATCGGGCTGAAGAGCGGGCTGTGAGAGTCCAGGCAATAGTGGGAGGCTGGGAAGTCTCCTCCTATCTCTCCCACCACTCAGTATCTCAGGCCCCTCTGCCCCCCAGGACCGGGACTTCATCATGACTTTCAACACATCCCTGCATCGCTCATGGTGGATGGAGAATGGGCCAGGCTGCCTGGTGACGCCTGTCCTGAACTCCCGCCTGGCCCTGGAGGACCACCACGTCATCTCCGTCACTGGCTGCTTGCTTGATTATCCTTACATAGAAGCCCTCAGCAGTGCGCTGCAGATCTTCCTAGCTGTGAGTCCTGTTCATCACCCATCGCCATATTCCCAGAAGCACAGGTCCCAACCCTTTCCACTCTTTTTTTTTCTCCCCCCTTGGTGTTTGTTTGTTTGTTTGTTTGTTTTCGAGACAGGGTTTCTCCGTGTATCCTTGCCTGCCCTGGTCTCGCTTTGTAGAGCAGGCTGGCCTCGAACTCACAGAGATCCTCCTGCCTCTACCTCTCCGAGTGCCACTGCCCGGCTCTCATCCCACTCATTATCCCTAGTAAAGAGAGGACAGGCTCTATGAAGTGACCTATACCTACAATTCCAGCATTCAGGAGGCAGAGGCAAGGGGATCAGGATCGGAGGTCAGCCTAGATTACATAGTGAGTTCCAGACCCTACCCCTGTGCTGAAAAGAAAAGAAAGATAAAACTATGAATTCTAGCCTCTCCCCCTTGCTCCTGCCTGGACCTCCCCCTTCCTCCTTCCACCCCCTCCCCCAAGAAGGGCATGGGCAGGTTTCCTGAATGGGATGAGTCACCAGGCCAAATCCTGCTGGGCTTGAATATCTAATATGCCCCCGAGACCTTGGACAAGTCATTTGCTCTCTCTAAGCTCCCTTTCTGTTTGCATACGAAGGAAGCGCTAACCTTAGAGGGCTGTGCAGTGGTAGTGTGCCTCTAATCCCAGTGCTCAGGAGGCAAGGGCAGACAGATCTGGGAGCTAGCCTGGTATACAGACTGAGTCCCAGGACGGGAAGGACTACAGTTGAAACAAACAAAAAAAAGAGAAAGAAAGAAAGAGGCTCCAAATAGGGGTCACAGCCAGGCATGGTGGTGTATACCCATAACCCCTGCACATGGAAGGCCCCAGAGCTCAAGGCCAGCCTGGGCTACTTGAGACCAGCCCTGGCCTAGGCACTTTCCCTGTCCTAGGTGCTTTACACAGGCAGGGCTACATAATCCTTTCACCCTACAGTCTAATGACTCAACCTGGGCCTAGCAGAGAACACCGGGCCACAAAGAGGTGATAATGCTGGTCTGAAGTCACAGTCACAGCCTTTCTGGTTTGTTTTGTTTGTTTCGAGGCAGGGTTTCTCTGGGTAGCCTGAGCCGTCCTGGATCTCCCTTTGTAGAAGAGGCAGGCTGCGAACTTCCAGAGATCCACCTGCCTCTGCCTCCGGAGTGCTGGGATTACAGGCGTGAGCCACCGGGCGCACAGTCATTTATCTTAAGTGTTTGCTTTGTGCAGGGTGCTGAGTCAGGTGGGTAGAGGGGACGGGGACAGCTCCTCTTTCTCTTCCTGACTGCCATCTCCCCTCCCAGCTGTTCGGCTTCGTGTTTGCCTGTTACGTGAGCAAAGTGTTCCTGGAGGAGGAGGACAGCTGTGAGTGCGTCTCCCCCGGGGAGGTGGGGCGGCCCGTCTTTTCAGCACCGTGGACAGGGCTTCCTCCAAGGTCTCCAAGGAGCCCAGGGTCACTCGGCTTCTTTCTAAGGAAAGAAGGGGTAGATGGAGTCTGGGTGACCGCTCTCTGGATTAGGACCCAGATGTCCAGGTGCTCATTCCAAGGCCCCAGCACGGCCTTCCCTTCCTACCCCCCACCCCCACCCCCGTGCTGGATCTAACCTGATGGAAGGGCTTAGAGCCTTAGGGCCTTCCAGCTGCTGCGGGTGGGGGTGGGGCGCAACACTTGACCCTCCCCTCTCCCTTAAGTCCACGACCTGGGCGTGGCCTTTCCGGGCCCCACCCAACCCCTTCCCAGGCCTGGCTACCCAGGAATGGGCTCCTGTCCAGGGTTCTTCGCCTTCAGGACTCACCCTTTCCCTTCCGCAGTTGACTTCATCGGTGGCTTTGACTCCTATGGGTACCAGGCGCCGCAGAAGACATCACATTTACAGCTGCAGCCTCTATACACGTAGGTTCCTGGCGGGGGGCGGGGGGG